TGCACAAAACAGTCGTAAAAACTGAAATTGGTAACAAAAAAGTATCTTCCACATATATAAAATGGTGTGTGGATATACGTATATATATTTAAATTCTTATTTAGATTTTAAATTTTATTCCTACAGTTCGTTTATTTTATTTTGAAAATCATTTTAATTAGCTTGACATTTTTTTCATTCTAAATTAACTTTTAGTGTTGCTTGCTCACTTGCGGTTTTAAGGGTTAACGTGGAGCTGATTGATATCTTTAGGTTCATTAGTTGCAGCAGACTTTTTAATTGGAAACGTGCAACTTGCAACGAAGCAATGAAGACACATGGGTGAGAAATTAATGAGCAGATGAATTGAAATTCTGCTTAAATACTTTTAGTTTTTATATTATTTTGTACAAAAAAATTAAGCCATATACTTTCTATTTTTATATATATATACCATATGGTCATATTATAATATAGATATGTTATTTTGTTTTTTTAATTTTATAAAAATTGTAATTATGGAATATTTTACCAAAGTAAAAAAAAATTTTTATTTATTTAAATTTAATTTTTTTTTTCTTATGTGAGATATCACACTAAATAGATGAAACACATTTATAAAAAAAACTACATTGTGACCGAAAAGTTTTCGGGAAATTTTAAATAAAACGCAAAATTCTTAACCTTCATCAATATTTATTTTATATTCTCCTTCAAAATATGCTCCATTAGAAGCGATACACAAATGCCAACGTTTCTTCCAATCATCAAAACAATTTTTTATAGGCGCTTTCCGGTATGGCTTTGAGTTCCCTCTGCGAATTCTGTTTTACGTCTTCTATGGATTCAAAACGCGTTCCTCTGAGTGGTAATTTGAGGTTGGGAAACAGGAAAAAGTCACACGGTGCAAGATCAGGTGAATACGGTGGCTGTTCGATGGTATTTATTGAATGTTTGGCCTTAAAATCGTTGATAATGTTGAACAAATTGAGGTGAATCGGAACAAGCCGGGCGTTGACACGTCGCATACACAAATTGTCCACCAAAATCAAACGAGCCATCTCACGACCGATGCCTAGCTCTCGTGCTATCTCTCTAACACTCACATGAGGATTTTTGAACACGATTTCCTTTGCCTTTTCAATGTTTTCGTCGGTGGTAGAGGTCGAAGGTCGTCCAGAACGCGGCATGTCTTCGACGGTCGTACGACAGTCCTGAAAGGCTTTGTACCACTCATAAACTTGAGTTTTCGATAAAACTGATTCCCCATAAGCCTTTTGTAGCATTCGCAACGATTCTGCACACGAAATTTCGTTCGAAAAACAAAATTTGATGCAAACTCTTTGTTCAATATTTTTTTCCATTGTTTTTTTCGCAACGCACTACTGAGGTGAACTGGTTTCAACAGCTGCCGTAAACGAACTGTCCTACAAACGAATCCAGAAACAGTTGAACTCCAAAAGGAGCAGCGTTCTGCATCTGTGTATCTACATAAACTTAAAATATCGAAAAATATACAGCGCGCGAATTTTAAATGAGAATTTCCGAAAACCTTTCGGTCACAATGTATAGCGAAACCGACTAGAGTGGTGTGCTCACAAAATGAGAGGAGACAACCGTAAACCAACTGAATAAGTACGCCTTTAAGGGACAGAAATGGAGGGACAACGCTTAAAGTTTGTAGCAACAAACGGCAGAAGATCCTGGCATCAAAATATTGTACAAAAACAGATCGATTACACATAGGGATATGGCAAAGAGAGAGAGATTGAAAAGGAGAGAGAAAGTGAAAAACAGAGGTAGAAAGAAAAAGTGAAAGAGAGAGAGAGATAGAGAGAGAGAGAGAGAGAGAGAGAGAGAGAGAGAGAGCGAGATAGAGAGAGACAGAAAAATATTAAGGATGAAAGAGAAAGAGAGAAAAAACAAATGTCAAAAAATACTTCCGTTTTATACAAAATAGTGCGCACTTCGTAAAGGGATAGAACGAAGAGAAAATTAGATAAAAATTACAAAGAAACAAAAAAAAGAAAGACACAAAAATAGAAAAATGACGTAACAAGGAAGAGAGTAAAACAATAAGATAAGGCGAATGGAGAGTAAAAAGGGATAAATATATGGTGAGGTATGAAAAGAGAGAGGAAAAAAAATATACAGTACTCCACCTGATTGAGAGTAAGACAGTAAGGCGATCGAGAGAAAAAGTAGAATATGATTTTTAACACAGAGAAAGAAAGAGATTAAAAGAATAAAAAAGGTACATAGAAAGACAGCAACATTGGACGGAGAGAGAAAGAAAGTAAGAGAGAAAGGAAGAGAAAAGATGCGGTAGAATGAGTAAATGGTAGAGAGAGAAAGAAAATGCATGCAGAGCGAAACTTTAAGAAAGATATAAAGAAAGAAATTGAAATAGATAAAGAAATTCAGAAAAGGTTATATAAAAACAAGTTTTATATAAAAACAAGATTAATTATATATACATATTAAATATTGAAAAATTTAAAATTTAAAATTGTGTTTGTTTAAAAAACCTAGTACTAACAATTCAATAATTAACATCATTATAACTAAAAGCGCAATACTCAAACTGTAAATAATCATATTCAAATTAAATAGATTGAGTAGCAAGTTACTTTAAACAGAAAAGGTAGTTCGTTTCTTTTGGTGTTTAATATGATATAATGCGGATACTTAAAGTGGAATTCAAACAATTTTTAACTTAAAAAAAACTAATATTAATTATTAAAACCTAAACTCATTCATGGCATTCAAATAATCCAAAACAAACTAACTGCCTTTGTTTACTAAAATCTATAATATTTGACCTTACATATACCTTACTTAATATATGACTATGAGTATTATTTTTTTTTTTTTTTTTTTTTTTTAAGTTAGTGATATGTTCGAACGTTAAAAATAAATATTAATTTTTATATTTATATAAAGTATATTTATATAAAAAAAAATAAAGTTAAATAAAATATGTAATGATTAACATTATAATGACTTAAAATAATATACCTATAACTATTTTGGTTGATCGGAATATACAAAATTGATGTTCTGATTTTTATTCAGAATATGAAAAATATAAGGGTTAGCATACATAGTTTTTTATATGCTTCAACAACACTTGTATGTATATATACTTGTATATATGTACCAAACAAATTTTTGTAAGTAGTTTGAGGGATTTTACTTTCGTTAACGCCTATTTGCATTACAGCATTTGTGCGTACTTCAATCCTCTACTTCAAACCGTTTGTTTGTTTATTAGATCAGTCACTTACTTAATGACCGTTGTTCTTACCTCACTGGAACAACGAATTGGCAGTTGAAAATATTTACGCATATAATTATGTATACTTTATCATTTGAAGTAATCAAGTTAGTGCCTTGTAAATGGCTCGTTACTGCATTCACTAGACGGACGCATTATCTTCATACGAAATCTGAATGCATACTACTGCGCTGTTTCCTGCATCATGTTGTGCAAAATAAAACATATAATTTCATTATTTGGATCTGTGTATCTTTCAACCAGTTTTTTTTAACTTTTTTGTGTTACTATATGGACAATATCGAAGAACAGAACTTAATTAATTTCTGTTTGTTTTTCGATGCACGCTTTTTAGTAGTATCTGCTGAGCGTTGAAAAACAAAAAGATTCTTTGGAATTTTAAAGACTTTTTTTGCCTTCAACCATTTTGTGCTCTCTTTGGTTGTGGCAATCTGTGTGTTTGTTTTATATTGTATCTTATAAAATACATATTCATTATGTTGTTATAGCATTTAAATTTAAATTGCAACAAAATCTTATAAACACACTTTTTCGTTTGTATGAATATGTACGATGTAGGTATATGTGGGTATGCAATAATGGTGGCTTGAATTTTAAAACTCATAAATTTTATAAGCTCATAAATTAAACATTTTGTTATTGATACTTTTTATTTATTTATTTATGTTTTTTTAATGACTGTCTGCTTTGGTTTTTGCTAAAAACTTATGAATATTTCTGTACAAGATTATGTGCACATTCCATTTTTATTTGAAATAAATGCCAGTCACATTTGCACACGCCTTCCTGGTATACAATTGGGAGTTGCCCAATTGAACTGTGTAAAGTGTGACATTTTTCTCAGAAAATTTTTCCTTAAACTTCATTTTTAAGGAATGAACGAACAGCATGTGCAGATAGCTTCTCCCTACTGCCTAACTAAATTAAATAATTCATTTTTTGTTGACAATATTTCTCCTACTCACAAAATTATGCCATAAATTAGAATTTAATTAATTGGCTGCCATATGCTGCGCAAATTTTTTGTATCTGTTACTTGTATCTTAATACGATACAGTATATATATTGTGTACGGAGTAGTATGTGCTTAATTAGTCATTCAAACTGACAGGTTGTTTGCTTGAATAAAGCGAACTTTTTTGTTGATATTTGAGCAGACTGCTGAACCTAGTTTTAAGAAGATCTTTTTATTTTTAACATGAATTTTCAAATTTATTTTTTTCTTTCATCAAAATTCCAGGAATCAAATTCTGTTCGAATCGGCTTGATATATTTTGTATCTGATCGTTGTGCTTTGAGAAATGAAAAACAGAATTTATCGAATGTTAATTAGAATAACCAAATATTTCGGTTTGTGTACTTTTGCTAAACTCATTAATTAAAAGATACTTAAATCATTAATTTTTAAATAAATATTTATATTTGTTTCTTTTGATGCTAAATTGTTGTATACTTAAGTGTTGATAAAAAAACAGCAGTAATTATTGTTGTTTTAAAAATATTTGCATATTTGCTTAGTTTATTATATATACTTTTTTTTGCTTTTTTGTTGAAATTCTTAAATCAGCAGGTTTAATTTAATTAAAAACATAAAAATACAAACATTGTATATATCAAAT